CCTCACCACACATAGATACCCCCCTCTCTAGCCCAGCCAATGCGCCTCACACCCACCAATACTCAACGACTGCTGTACAAATATGCTAGCGACATGCTCACATCCCTAACTGTCCAATCAGAGCTAGATTCATGAGCTTACAGATTTTACGATATCCCTCTGGTTCCATCAGAAGCAATGATCTGGTAGCAATTAATGCGCAGAAAAGCGCTGGAGGCACCTCCGGTCTCGCAGTTGACCACAAAATCGCAGCACGAGGCGAGCGCCAGCCTACACCCGACCAGGTTCTTGTCTCCAGCTGTAAAGTGAAGGGTGTTACCGTCACGGATGAGGCAATTAGACTGGGGGTAGAACGCTTCTCAGTGATCCTAAAGCTCGAGTCACGTCCAAAGCGGTTAAAATGATAGGCTCCATCGGTCGAACATTCGAATCGGACGTGGCAGCAATGCTCTTTGTGCAGTAATGACTGTTTAAATAGTTAAGCACCCCAGAATAAGAATATTTGACTTCAAATCGTAAAAGGGAATAACATCTTGGGTTTGTGACCAGTCAACGGGAACCGATAATTTATTGCTGTTGAGGGAGTATTCCAATCCTATGGATTACTACCGAGGGGATCGGCTGAAGTACTTCACAAAGTCATTAGGTAGCTTTGCATCATCGTTTTTATTCTATTTTATTATTTTTTTAAAGTTCAATGGACTGTCGCGCCCAAGTGAGGGTGAAATAGTGCGCAAATGAAAATGGAGAAGATTTACGGAGGTGAGCGGGTGCTCAGCAATCCTGCACGGGATGCCCACGAAGGAGAACTGTCCGGTATTTTGCGGAGGCGGGCCCAGCGCCGAGCTCCGTAGCGAGCCGAGCACTGCAGTCTCCAGGTAAGAGAATCTTTTTAATCGCAGGAGCGCAGCGATTGCATTTGTTACGCTTAGCTTTGGATTGTGAAGATGGTGAGAAAGGTTGGGCGCGGCAGCCAGTGCCGTACTAGTATCAATTGTCAATATGCAGAGGGCGACGACACAGATACCATTTGTAAAGTCAATTAAGCTAACACAGATATCGATATTCTGTGATGACTGAGGGTTATCACGAAACTATACTACTGGATATTAGTTTCTTCATCATTAACAATTGTTCTGTAGTTGCCTAGATATTAGCTTTTTGCTCGCCAACATCTGTGATCATGCAAAGCCCAGCAGTTTCGACGTTAAGAGGGGGCGTATCCTCACTTCCAAGTGTGGACGAGTTGTGGATTAAGAAAAGCTGCAGTCCAGGATCCAGATTCTCGCTGTCTGTACAGCGTACACCAGCTATTATAGTAACTGCCTCGTTGACAGAAGAAGTGCAAGGCAATGACAAAAAAGAGACGGAATTCCCGAACAAAAGGTTCCATCGGCTTTGGACAAAATAATAGGACCAGCTGCACCAACGGGAAAGACACGCAAGCATACAAGCTGCGGACAATGGTGCGCTTAGTCTTGCTTAGTACCCCCTTAGTAATGTCAATGAACTCAATGAGGCACGGCACACGCGCAAAGCGGGGCAATAGGGAGTGTGAACGCTACCCGTGACATAGTCCAACTCAACTTAGATAGCGACCCAACAATTTGTTAAACAAGACACTCGGGATCTGATGGACTCGGTCAATCTTGATAACAGCGGGAAACATGCTGCAACCACCTCCTCTAATGCATACAAGCTTTTCTAATCTTCTCCGTAGGTCCAAGACAAAACGAATGCAACCCAGTGGAACCTTTTGCTCGGCAATTCCGTCTATTTTGTCGTTGCCTTGCACCTTTTTTTGTCGGTCAGCGTTGCCAATCGGTACAATATCGTGAGATTTGTGCCTGTTGTCTTTAATATAAGCCATGTATACTTTCGTACTGTATCCAAGTAGCATGCGTAACGAGGAAAGCGTGCCGATCACTTACCCGTCGAGGCTTACAAGGGCAGAAGGCCGTGTTGATCATTGATCAATGATGAATGATCAAGAGTCGAGGTCACCGCCTGCATCTCCATTTTTGCAGTACCGTATACGTATGTATCAAAGTTGAGTAAAATGTATTCGGGGGTGTTGTCTGTTTGCAATCCCATCCTAAGAAACTGATTTGCATAGCTGGAACAATCTTTACGTTCCCTTCTAGGTTTCTATTGTTAACGTTTCCGTACTGGCAGACTTATGATAGATTATGTATAGAGTCTCGCAAAACATGTGTTTTGTGACAAACTCTACAATACAGACGATCCACTCGCTACAATCCCCAATATATTCCTGTCTAAAGGTATTCCTATCCATGAATGCACCACAAAAATGGATTTGGGCACCTTTAGTTCGGAACAGTGCACAGCATCTAGTAGTGGAAACGATTGGCTTATTTCACCGTCCGTCTTCACGACGTGCTGGAAGCACACCGAGCATTTAGACTACTACAATTGCGTCTACGAAGATCCAGACGAAGATGATGCAATGTCCGCTGAGCTTGCGATGATATTATCTCGCCTGCGCACTAAAGGATCCAATGTCCGTGGGCAAGCTTCTGAACCCGCCGGACGAGAGCACAACTGCAGAAGATCCCACAGATGACGACTCTGTGGAGTTGGCGACCAAGAACTGGCTGTAGATGGCTCTGAGAGCGGCTCAGAAAACCTGGACAAGGGCGATTTGGAGCGAAGTAATGAGGAGGACCTTGAGCCAGAAGCAATTAAAGAGCAATGTGGATTGGTAAGCTTCCTGTTCGTGCAGGTTCGACTGGAACATCGGGTGGATCGGTGAGCGAATTGCGAGAATGACAGCGCACGCTCCGTGAAGAGCTTGGAAGAAAGCAAGGCCACAAGCACCAAAAGTCTTCGATAGATTTTTCGGATGTCCTGTGCAGGTATGGCTGTTCCCCTAGTTAAGCACCCCAGAATAAGAATATTTGACTTCAAATGCATTCCCTTTTACGATTGAGGGGTGAGAGGGAATAATATCTTGGGTGTGTAAGTGACTGGCCAACGGGAACTGCTAATTTATTGCTGATGAGGAGTATTCCAAGACAAGGAATTACTACCGAGGGGATCGTTTGTACTAGAAACTTTGGCCGATTTGCAAGATAAGCAACGGTTTCCTATCCTTTGGCGATATCACGAGTTTTCATGGGGAAAGACTGTCCGACGGGCGCTCACTTCACAACTAACTCTTGAGCACACAAGCAACTGTCTCCTCAGCACGCACACAGAACCATTCAAAGAGCTTTGTCTACAGCAAACAACAGCAGCGTCATGAAGCGTCTCTTCATGTTCGTGGTACTTCTAGCTGGCATTATCGCAACCGGAGTGGCACTCGGAGAACCTGAATACGGAAACAACAAACTTAGTGACACCTCACACCAGAGATATTTGAGAGTCACGGGAACGACGTACAACGACGCTGCCGCTGAAGAGAGAAGACTCCAGAGTAGTTTGTATGGGGTGCTGGGTAAGGCTGCGACGAAGTTGCCTTTGCCCGAAAAACTGAAGTTTGTGATCTGGAGGAAGGCGGGTTGGGATTACAACATTCTCAAACAGAAATTGTTCAAGGGAGTACCGAAGGAAGTGTACGAGAAGGATCCTAGGTTCGAAAAGGTCTTGCTCAAGTTTGGCGCTTACATGAGGTCGATGTAATGGTTACCAGATTCTAGGCTAATTGATCACGCTTTATGGCGTACGCGTGCGAAGACGATGTTTTAATGTTTTAGTTGAGCTGGGTCACATGGATATGTATAGGTTTGCGTTCGTACGTGTCCTTTGTGGGACGAGGTGCAGTTATAATAACATGTGAGGTACGGGTACTGAGTCAGTACCCGTAGCAGTACTACTGATCACAGGTTACTGGGCGATATGAAGATTGCTGATACGAAACGCACAGGACCGTAATAGTAGAACTTGAAGTCTTTCAACAGCATGAGCTTCGAGATCAGTATGTCGAACGTATACTAGACGGCAAAACGTCAAAATATTTATGGTGATCTTTGCTGTTGGTTCTCGCTTGTCTATAGATTTTTTGGAAGGCCTTGGTGTCCTTGGCGTGTCTTCTCCAGAATCCAGCCTCGTCATGTTGCCGGTAAAGAGAAATATGCAAAGTGAAGACGAGCTACATTGAAAAACATTGCATGACGAAACGGCGTGAACAAGATCAAGTATTTATGTCATAAGATGTGATTCGTGTGAACTAAAAGTAAATACAACCCAATTGATCGTGCACAGAGTCGAACCCGCTGGCAGTTAAAATGTACCTGTACTCTTTTTTAAAGCTACATGCTACTGTGTATAAGCCCAGGTTGCCTTGGGAGTTGAGCGGGATCTGAAGAATTGTAGTGACGACCTATATCGACAACCACCTGCAAAGACGACCCACTAGCATGCACGGCCGAGTTGTTCACGACTCGGGAAAGAATCTACCTTTCAGTCTTTCGAGCCTGCTCTGGGTCCTTTTCAGCACCGAGTCTCCCCGACTCGTCTTTGCCGGTAAGACTGGATGGCGGGATCACCTTGTGCTCTGCTCGATGGACACCCTCAATGCAAAGACAGAGACCGAAGGAGCCACAGTTTGTCCTGTTCAGCTCTTTGACGTCCGAAGAGCGTGCGAGGTGCTGCAGGTACACCAAGTGATGACCGAGGGGATATCTGTCGAGCTTGCTCTTCAGACTCATAGTGGTGCAGTGTACACGTTGACTGCTTTGTCAGACGAGGAGGAATTGGTGCCTACTGGAGTAGCCACTAAGTTCCCGGCGTTCTCTCATATGACTGTGCTTGACTGCCGTTCTACCAATGAGCAAAGTGATTCAACACGAGATGGTATTGTGGTGATTGGACTTGAAGGCTCTAGTGCAAGATTGTACGTGAATGGCGAACTATTGGCTTCTGCTTGCTCGTCGTTCCGCTACAGTTCGCTGACTTCGGTGCTCTTATTCACGACTCAAGGTCGTGAGTCGCAACTTCGCATCGCACCAATATCTGGTATCCAGGGTTTTTCTTGCGGTAAGACTTCAGTCTCGAACACCGTCAACTTTGAATCTCGATCGATTGAGCGTGGGGCTCTGCTTGTTGCAACGGTGGGTCAGCGAGCCAGCGTCATTGTTCAGATGCCACGAGGAAACCTCGAGTGCATGTCCCCGCGTCTTCTGGTGTTAGCACTGGTCGTGCAGCAAATTCAAGCGCGAGAATATGTCTCGGCATTGGAGATCTTTCGTCGCCATCGACTAGACCTGAATGTTCTCGTGGATTTCAACCCTCAGGCATTTATCAAGAGTTTTCCGCAGTTCCTGGTTCGTCGTTTTCTCTCGACAAGACCAGC